CGGCACACTAGTGTGCCGCGGCACAGTGGTTGAAAAACACTGACATAGATCATATTATGGATTTTGAAAAACATTATTCCAGATGAGTCCACTTGAGCAGATGGTAACAGGGGACGCTGGGGAATTCTCAGCTGCAATTCGCCAGGCAATGGATAAAAAAAGGCAATACGTAATTGGTTAATTCAGTTTCACCCAGATGTAATGGCTTTAGGTAAATAAAAAATAAGCCGCATCCATTCCCATTAGGAACAGATTCAAAGCAGGCACAAAGTCCATCTGGAACCTAAACCAGGCAACAAAAAGCAAGCAGATCACTGGAAGAACTATAGAGAGGAAGACCACGTTACTTTCGGCGCTACCGCCAGCTTCTTCCAGTAAGCGCTTTTAAGCACCTGTATAAAAAGCAGAAATTTAGTAACACTTCTAAGGAGACACAGTTTTGGGTGGGTGGATCCATTCTGGGTTTATGGAAACACACGCGGACGTACAGGCGGCTCTGCCAGCGTGTCAAGTGGCAGGGCAACAACTTCGAAGAACTGCCTACAATCAGAGGCACCAATCGCGGGTTGCGATCTATGAAGCCTTCAGTCAGGAATTTAGTTTTTCCTTCAAGGGCCTGGCGGCAGGCCGGCACCCGCAGCAAAGCCAAACCGACGAACGGCTGCCTCTCCCGCCCAATTTAGCGCAACAGGGCTCCGCCTGTCTGTGCCCAAGGCAGGGCAGGACACAGTGACTCACGTCAGGCTCGTTCAGCCGAGCGCGCACATGGCGCAACATTACTAGGCGAGGGGAATCGGGGATGGAGTCGGCCGCGCCCAAAGACCCTGAGCAGAGCCGGGCAGGGGAAACACAAAACCGGCCGGCCGAATATTTTTGTTTTTTTAAAGAGCCCCGGAGGGTCGGCTTCCCACGACGTCTTTCAACTGCCCGCTGCGCAAACTCTCTCCCCTCCTCGTGCAAATTTCCCTTTCCGAAAACTCGTCGCGCATCTAGGAAGGGCGGTCGCGCGAACGCAATCTCTCCCCCCCCCACCACCTCCTTTCCCCAACCGGACGCTTTTTGACACGTGGTGGGTTGCAACTTGCAAGAGGGGTGGTGGTGAAGAGGCCTAATCCGACGCAGCTCGAAAGGAACAGGGCCTGCTCCGTTCGGATTGCTGGTAAAAATCGCATGGAAGGCACATTCCCCGAGACGCCCTGCACATTTGTCAAATTGAAATCGGACGACCGGGGTGTGGGGGGGAGACAGAGGGAAGGCAGGGCTCGAAATGCAGGGAACTCTCCAGGCGCGGCGTTACGGTGGGTGGGGAGAGGAATCGCTCTCCACGCCCGTTCCTGTTTTTTTTTTTTTTTTTTTTGCTCCACTCCGGCCAGTTGCGCCCCCCTCCTTCCCTCTAGTTCAGTGTGTCTCAAACTTGGCGACTTTTAAGTCCTGTGGACTTCAACTCCCAGAATTCCCCAGCCATCTGGGGGCTTCTGGGAGTTGAAGTCCACAGGACTTAAGTCGTCAAGGTTGAGAAACACTGAACTAGTTACATATCCCCCCCTTCCCGGACTCCGCAGGCCGAACCGGATAAATCTAAGTCCGTCCTCCTCCAGCACCGCCCTCTTTAACTCTACCCTCGTAAAAAGTCGCCTTCTCTCGCGCCTAGGGCGTTTCCCGCTCGGCTCCGGAGTTTTCAAAGGCCCAACTTAGCCCTGGCGGTAAACAAAACTTGGCAGAGCTTGGAGGCTTCGGGTGGAAGAACAGCCCGAAAAGCAACCGCTTTCTTCCCCCCCACACACCCCTTCAGTTCTCCTGCCGCCAAGAGCGGCTCCTGACCCAAAAGAAAAATTTAAAAAAAAAGGGGGGTGGGGGCCGCCCGGCGCAGCTGCTGTGGCTTCGTTTCTCCACCTTAATGGAAACCCGTTCTTTGGAGGGGTGAGGGAGAAGGAAGCGAAACGCAAAAGCTCCCGGAGAGCGCTGAGGGCATTTTAAAGGAGATTCTCTCCGGACCCCCTGGAAGAAACTTCCCGCCCTCCCACATTGCGGGCGAAGCCGAAGGGGCCACGCAGCTGCTCTGACGAGGCAGCTCGGGCCTCGCGTTCTTCGGGGTGGTGGTGGTGGTTCTATGAGGGAAGAGCGAATGGCAGATTTCCCTTCCTCTTCTTTTATGCCGCTTTGCTTTTCACCGCTTCCTCCTCGGTTACCTCACAAGGGGCTGGAAGTGGGGGGGATACACACATAAGTAAGACCGAAGGTTTTAGGACCTAGATTGTTTGCGGGTGGGGTGGGGTGGGGTGGGTGCCAATATGCCGACTCTAAAGCGCTTACAGAAGGCTGCAAAGCGGTATATAAGTGCTACTTTCACGTGCTAAGCGCAAAGAAATGCCACCAACCGCAAACCCGCTCGGTTCCCCCCCATCTCAGGGGAGCCCCGCCGTCGCCTTTGCCCTCCCCACCCCCGTCCTTCTTGCCCCTCGCGGCTCGCTCGCCCACCCACCCTTCTCCCTTCCCCTCTCTTACTATTTCTACGAAGAGTAACATCCCCCTTTGGGAGCGGATGAAGCTGGTAAACTGCTCCATGCACCCCTTGGAGGACCCGGACGACTCCATGGCAACGGCGGGATGCCCCTCTTAACGACGGGGGGGCGAAGCGTCGAGTTCCCCTTCTCTCTCTTTTTCTCTCTCCCTCTTTTCGCGACTCCGCTTGCAAACCAGTCGTGCGCGGGTTCGTTGAGCTGGGCGAGGGCGGGGAAGCCTGTGGGCGAGGTGTGGCTGCTGGGCACGGCTCGGGCTGGGTTTTTTTTATTTTTATTTTTTAAACAGCCTCTGTTCCTTTAAGGACAGCCGGAGACGGGAATGCACTGGAAAAGCAAACCGAGGCACGGAAGAGGCGGCGGGGGCGTAGTTGCTGGAAGGAGCGCGATTCGGGGAAAAAAAAAAGGCGGTTTCTGCTGCCTCCTCTGAATCCCCCTGGGACAGTGATGGGATTCAAAAAGTTTAACAACCGGTTCTCTGCCCTAAAGATTTCTTCCAACAAACTGCTCAGGAAGTTAACAACCGGTACTCCCAAAGGGGTGCGAACTATTTATTACTTATTTATTTATTTATTAGACTTGTATACCGCTTCATAGGGCTTTCAGCCCTCTAAGCGGTTTACAATTTCTTTAGCAAATTGAATCAGCAACTTGCCCCCACAGTCTGGGTCCTCATTTCACCCACCTCGGCTGAGTCGATCTTGAACCGGTGAGATTTGAACCGCTGAACTGCAGATCACAGTCAGCTGAAGTGGCCTGCAGTACTGCACCCTAACCACTGGGCCACCTCGGCTCATGCAAAGCGGTATATAACTGGCTGAATCCCACCACTGCCCTGGGAATACAGCTTGGGGGAGCTTCTGGCTGCGAAATCCCAACTTTGGTAGGTGCATTTACTTCCTTGAAGAGACCGCTTCCCATCCCCGATCTTCTTCCCACCCCAGGCGCAGTTAACTGCAGGTGGGGATGACGCGTCTAAGGGAGGCGGAATACTGTGTATTTACTCAGCTTTTAACCTTAGAAAAGGGAGAGTGTTCTCTAACCAGGTACGATTTATGTGGCTAACTTTTTTTTCCCCCTCCAGGCAGGACATCTATGCATTTAATAGGGAATGGCAAGCTTCCCAATCCATCGGACACTGGGGAAATCTTCAAGTAATCAAATTCTGACACCTCCGTCCCAAACATGACTATCCTTTTCTTTTATCTACTTGAACTGAATCCATTTTGCTTCTTACATTTCCCATGGTGCACATGCTGCAGCCTGCTTGAAGCAAAAACCCCATCAGCCCCAGCCAGCATGGCCAAAAGTGAGATCTGGAAAATGTACTTTATCAATATCCTAAAGAACACACAATGTGGATCTACTTTAAAATCGTGTTATGTAAATATCCCATATTATTCATTCCTTACATGTAGATTTACCAAATGTATGTTATTTCTCTTTTAAGAAACAAACTCAGTATTATCATCTGTAGCTTACACTATTTAACTTCTTGGGAGAAGCTGACAGTTCAGACTTTCCCTAACAACATTGTATTGGAATGCAGGAAAATTTTCACAAATGGCAAGCTGAAATTCCACAGATGCTGCCCGGTTTAAGGGTCTCGCAGAAAGCTGTGTAAGGGTTGTGCAGAAGATGTCTCCAGCCTTCCCCTGACCAGCTAATCTCTCTACTTGTCACCCTTCTGGCCATGATGTCTGTCCTACAAGAGACTCTCTCTTTCCTTTGTTCCACCATCTTTTCTTTTCCTTTCTGTAAATTCTGTGAATAAATTGGGATGTGTCTTGACAGCAGTCCTGTGAAGCATTTTGATTTCTATCAAGTTTTTGGAAAACAGTAAGACAGATATTCCGCTAACATAAAACTACACTGCTTTCCACATAGTTTGAATTCCACACATTCAAACTTCACCATGCCACTGACCAAAACTTGTTAACTTGTTGGGGTTAACTTTGGAGATCCTCCTGTATATGAAAGATAAGTGATTGGTGGCACTGTCTGTGTTTTCAGTTTTAATACTAGGTATTTAATACCAGGCATTGCCAAGAAAATGTGCTCAGGAAGTTGCTGCTAATCACTAGTGGTGAAATTGGTTTTATATTTGCACAGTGTACTTGTGGCTTGGGATGCTGTTTTGAATCATGTCTTGGACCTGTGTCATACAGTGGCTTAGTCAAATAAGAAACCTATGAGTTATTATGTTGGGAAAACAGACCTTATAAGGCACTTCTGAATCTTCCTAGAATCACTGTTGGGGTGTGGGAGAGGAATCCCAGAGAGAAAATTAGTCTTTTTTTTTTAACTTTAGCTATTGACAGAGTTGGATGTAGTCATTAACTAAACAAGCTACAGCTACAGACTGAAAGAGTGTTTTGAATTTCTGATTTTTCTTTCTCATCTGCTACAGTTTTATGGTTTTATTTATACAAGTCTCCCTAAATGAAGCCTTTAGGTGTGGCTTACTCAGTCCTTTTCGATTAATTAAGATAAGCTTTCCTTCTGTGTGCATTCACACTTCTATTCAAACTGAGCCTTTCTCCATCCTATCACTGGTTTATAATGCATTTTTGGTGGCCTTCTTGCCAAGTCCAGGAAACAGAATTCTCTACAGGCTCTTGCCAAATGAAGCCTCTACAACTTCTCATAGCTTAAAGCTTCACAATGTTAACTGGTCCTTCTGCCCTTGGCAGTTTCCTCTGCTTATCTAACTAATTTCATGTCCTTTGACATGAGCCTCTTAATTCTGGATAACTTCATTTACTAGCAGCGAAATGGAAATGATTTACTGTTGCCTTTGTATGTGTTTTTCTTTTGTACTCTGCAGCTTAGTCTAACCCATCCTAGCCCTGGAATTATTTGGTGGCCGCCCATCCCAATAAAATCCACATCTGGCTTTGCTTTATTTTCTGAGATCAGTCAAGATTAGTTAGAGGCGGCCACCTGTGTTCAAAAGTTGAGAAGAAATTGGGAGGGAGGACAATGACAAGAAAGCAAATGTTACTTCGAGCTATGGTCAGGGAAGGAAAATTATGGTCAGAAATCGTGTTTTGCTGATACTCCCTGAATGATCTTGGACTAATTGTTATTATTCCCACCTACCTTAGTTGGCAGACAGTAACCAAGTTAATTTGTTGCCACAAAATGTCAATCCGCATTTGTGAAAATTTTCCTGCATTCCAATACAATGTTGTTAGGGAAAGTCTGAACTGTCAGCTGCTCCCAAGAAGTTAAATAATGTAAGCTACTGATGATAATACTGAGTTTGTTTCTTAAAAGAGAAATAACATACATTTGGTAAATCTACATGTAAGGAATGGATAATATGGGATATTTACATAACACGATTTAAAGTAGCAATAGTAGCAATAGCAATAGCAGTTAGACTTATATACCGCTTCATAGGGCTTTCAGCCCTCTCTAAGTGGTTT